GAACCAGGGACGCCTGGGGCGGAGCTGGACTATCGGAAGGGGGGGGGCTATGAGGGGTCTGGGGTGGCATCCACCCCACCCCAGACCCCTCACCCCCTGGGTCCTAAAGGTGCCGGATTATCGGAAGTTTACTGTACTCCACTTAGGAAGGAACAATCAGTCTCACACATACAGAACAGGAGTACGGCAGAGAGGGATCTAGGGGTCATAGTGGACCACAAGCTAAATGAGTCAGCAGTGTGACACTGTTGCAAAAAAAGCAAACGTGATTCTGGGAGGCAGAAACAGGAGTGTTGTGAGCCAGACCCGAGAAGTCATTCTTCCGCTCTACTCTGTGCTGATTAGGTCTCCATTGGAGTGTTGTGTCCAGTTCTGGGCCCCACACTTCAAGAAAGATGTGGAGAAATTGGAGAAGGTCCAAAGAACATCAACAAAAGTGATGAAAAGTCTAGAGAACATGAGCTCTGAGGGAAGGCTGAAGGAACTGGGCTTGTTTGGAAAAGAGAAGACTGAGAGGGGACAGGAGAGCAGTTTTCAAGTATCTACAAGGGTGTCACAAGGAGGAGGGAGAAAAATTGTTCTCTTTGGCCTCTGAGGACAGGACAAGAAGCAATGGGCTTAAACTGCAGCAAGGGAGGTTTAGGTCGGACATTAGGAAAAACTTCCTATCTGTCAGGGTGGTGAAACACTGGAATAAATTGCCCAGGGAGGTTGTGGAATCTCCATCCCTGGAGATATTTAAGGGCAGGTTAGACACACACCTGTCAGGGATGGTCTACACACCTGTCAGTGTTTCTCAACTTTTTTTTTTTTTTTTTTTTTTTTTGTAATAAAGTACCCCTTTAATAAAAAAATTAAAGGTACCCCCAGTACCTACAGTTTTCTCACACACACACGTTTTATCTACCATTGCAACACATTTGTTTAAACAACTTAATCCTAGCCGGGTGGACAATGACATTTTTTGGGTGTGTAAAAGTACAAAAATAAGAGAGCTCTGTAAAACTTAAAATAAAAATTCTGTTTTCTCCAAATTTCAGTTGCCAGACCCCCCCAGACTTCTTTTGAGTATCCCTAAGGGTATTCATACCACTGGTTGAGAAACACTGGTCTAGACAGTGCTGGGTCCTGCCGTGAGGGCAGGGGACTGGATGACCTCTCAAGGTCCCTTCTAGTTCTAGTGTTCTAGGATTCTACTCAGGTAGCTGATACTTAACATCCTTCATGTGAGACAGGCCTTCTGCCCATGGTTTTTCACTGCTTCATCAAACAGCGAAACTCTTCCTCCTGGCTTCAGGAAGGGTCCCCGAGGCTAGCTGGGCACTCCCCTGGATTGGAGAGTTCCCGAAGGAAGGCTTGTGCCAGCCTTGCTCAGAAGCTGTGGCTTCTGATAGTTTGACTTAAGATTTTTGTTCCTTTTGCTTTTTCAGGGCCTATAAAAGTAACACCCTGAAGCACAGGTCGGTGTATGAAATCATGCTGCCGTTCTTCTCGCCAGCGTTGCTCTTCGTTCTGTGCATGATCTGGATCTTCATGTCACCGTCAGACATCCTGGAGGTCCACCCCAGGCTCTTCTACTTCATGGTGGGAACAGCCTTTGCTAACATTTCGGTAAGAGTGCTAGTTCTCCGCTAAAACACGCGGGACGGGGTGGCGGATTTCAGTCAGCCCCAGGGTGAAGGGCTGCAGCGTGTCATGCTATGCCCAGGCTGCTCCTGAGGGGGGAAGGCGTCACAGATGCAGTATGAACGAGCAGGAATTGTGGGCTGTGTCAAAGTAAACCCCTTGGCAGCAGGCGGGAGAGCCTCGGAGCCGAAACCGTGTCCTGTAAACCAGATCTGATGCTTTCCCCAGATCAGAGACAGCCCAGCATGTCGAGGAGAGGGTGACGATTCACTTGCCTGAGGTCCTGCTCTCTCAGGCGTAGCAAGGTTCTAGGTAAAATTTGGTTCGGCTGTGTGAGATCAAGTCTGCCTGCTTACAGGAGACGCCCCAAATGTCCTGGATACTGTTAAGCCGTGGCCTCGGTGCCTTGCATGCCAGACAGGCAGCCGAGGCGCTTCCTGGGACTGTGCCCAGAAGCCGAGCACCGTCTCTCCCGCTCTGCAGCGTTCTTGCTAACTCTGCAGAGGCCAGTAGGCAGACTGGACCAGAACTGGCCAAGCCAATGCAAGTGCATCCGTCTTCTCGATGTGGTGCCGTGTTCCGAGCGAGGGATTGGCTCCCACGGGCTGGAAACCAAAGCACAGCTAACATCCCTCTCGCTCCTCCCCCACCAGTGCCAGCTGATCGTGTGTCAGATGAGTAGCACCCGGTGTCAGCCTCTCAACTGGATGCTGCTGCCGTTAGCCCTGGTGATCTTTGTGGTGGTCTCCGGAGCGGCGCCGCATTGGGAGGATCTTCTCCTGTACCTGCTGACGGCGCTCATCACGCTGGCGCACATCCACTACGGAGTAGCCTCTCGCTCCTCCCCCACCAGTGCCAGCTGATCGTGTGTCAGATGAGTAGCACCCGGTGTCAGCCTCTCAACTGGATGCTGCTGCCGTTAGCCCTGGTGATCTTTGTGGTGGTCTCCGGAGCGGCGCCGCATTGGGAGGATCTTCTCCTGTACCTGCTGACGGCGCTCATCACGCTGGCGCACATCCACTACGGAGTAGGCGTGGTGAGTGCAGCCTGCCCCCGGGCGCGGGGGTGCACTGCCGCGGGTCTGCCTAGAGGAGTCGCTCTGCCGGCCCCCGGCGGTGCTGTTTGCAGGGGCTGTCCCCCGTACCCCTGGAACGCTAGGTAGCATTCCTCTGCTCCCAACGGCGTTGCCCAGC